AGTAGAAAACAGAAAAAAAAGATGACTTGGAGAAAGGCATAAATAGAGAACTGCTTATTGAAATAGAAAGTAATACTGAAAAAAGTCGTGGAATTTGAAAATGTTGTGGAATTTGATCATAAAGTCGTGGGATTTGAAAATATTGTACAATGGACTATCTAGGATATAATTGGTAAAACACACACACACAAATAGGTGAATAAATCAATGTATAAGATAATGATAAATAAATGTAAGTGTAGATTAGTCACAGGGGATGCAAGAACCAGTCCATGACGTGGCCGGGCGAGGGGAGGAAAAAAATTAAAAAATAAAAATCTTATTGGGTTCGTCAGTTGGTTAAATGGGGAAGTCATTCATTGAACCACTAAAAGTTATTTCGAGCATCATTGTGAGAATTAAAGGGTTTATACAGCCGGTTCAGTAACGGTGTCAAGGGTGAGGGAGGGAGGCTTGGTATTAGTGGTAACACGTGATGGTAATGGTGGTGGTGGTGGTGGTGGTGGTGAAGGTGGTAGTGTTGATAGTGGTAGTGGTGATGGTGGTAGAGGTGATGGTGGTAGGGGTGATGGTGGTTGTGATGATAGTGGTGGTGATGGTAGTAGTATGAGCTAGTCCGCAAGCATGAAGCATCCATCAGCTGGTAAGTAAACAGGTTCTTCCTCATATCAGAGTGTCAGGGCACACACACACACACACACACACACACACACACGCACACACACACACACACACACACGCACACGCACACACACACACACACCTGGATCAGCCCTCGGGCTGGTTCGGAAGAAAGTAGTTGTTTGTTTCGTGGGCCGCCACCAGAGGACTGGGAGAGAAAGTGCTGATCTGACCCAGTCTGAGCCAGACCTGGCTGACCTGGGCCCAGTTACCCCACCCCTACGCCCCACGCCCAGCTCTCGCCCTCACACCTGGTCCTGCCTTGGGCTCAGGTGGCACATCGACCCACCCAGATGATCATCGTTGGGGCGGAGACTGGGGGAAGTGGGAGGGGAGGTCGGTAAAGGCTGAGTAAGGCAGGTGAAAGGTGTAACAGCAGGTGGAAGTGAGTAAGAAAGAGCAGCATGTATGTCCCGAGGGTGATGTAAGGGAGAGTAAGATGTAGTGTTTTGAGGGTGAACTGTCATTACCGGCGGTGGAGAGAGAGAGAGAGAGAGAGAGAGTAAGCCGTACTACTGATGGTGGAATAAGACTTATCACTTGGCGTCACTGTTTGAGTCACCTTCACACCGACTCTCACTCACCCCCCAACATACTAACTAAGTCTTACCAAAACTACGCAAACTGACAACAACTTAACCGCTGTATAATTACCCTCTGGACACAACTGGGGAAAGTGATCAGCTGTTTAATGAGAGTAAATTAAATAAACAGATGTTGATTGTACTGTTTATCGAGAGTGATCAATGTAAACAAATAGTTGATTCATTGTTTATTGAGGGAGTTGTTTTGTTTATTGATTGTTATTATTCTTATGATAAACATATATTAAGTAATAACACAGAGGTAATGAAGTGGTTATATCATCATCTCACTTTCTCTCATTATACAGTAATTTTTAGCTTCATCGGATATCGGGTGTTCATTACGGATATCGGGTCTCCATTTACAGTTGTATTCGTTGTAAATTTTAAGGATTTTTACTAAATATTATCCGTAATCGGGTAAATTTTCTTTCTGGAAAAAAATTATCCGACATCTATTATATCGGGAGAGACGGCGAATCGATAGGAGACAACGAGGCTAATATTCTCGACGTACACACACACACACACACACACACACACACACGCACACGTACACACACACGCACACGTACACACACGTACACACAGACACACACACACACGCACACACACACACACACACCCACACCCCTTGCCGTAGGGTGGAAGCGTAATCTTGTACACTTAAAATCACTAATAATTTTCTCTTCTCCGCCTGTAACTCACACGCCAAATTACCCCACATTAAAAATAGCACAAAAAATAGAACAAATAGTTTAGAGAGTTTGAGGAGGTATATTTAGGAGGACAGATAACTCGACCAGACCTCAGATAACTCGACCAGACCTCAAATAACTCGACCAGACCTCAGATAACTCGACCAGACCTCAGATAACTCGACCAGACCTCAGATAACTCGACCAGACCTCAGATAACTCGACCAGACCTCAGATAACTCGACCAGACCTCAGATAACTCGACCAGACCTCAGATAACTCGACCAGACCTCAGATAACTCGACCAGACCTCAGATAACTCGACCAGACCTCAAATAACTCGACCAGACCTCAGATAACTCGACCAGACCTCAGATAACTCGACCAGACCTCAGATAACTCGACCAGACCTCAGATATCTCAACCATACCCCAAAAAACTCGACCAGACCAGACCAGACCAGACCAGACCAGACCAGACCAGGAGAAAGTTTTCTTCCCTTTCACTGGGTCCACTACACACTGGTCGCATTTTCTGGTCGACCTTCTAGAGACTCCTGGGGACGATAATAACAACCTTTAAATATCATGATCCCCTTAAGTGTGATAATTCCTTTAAATTTAGTACAGTACCTCCTTTAAGTCTAATAATTCACTGTTTAATTCCCTTAAGTGTAATGACTCGCTATTTGATTCCCTTAAGTGCATTTATTCCCTAAAATGTAATGACTCCTGTGGTATGATATGACATTTTAAACGAGTATGAATATAAACAGGTGGAGTAGGGATTACGGGCCTTTGTATTTAAAGCTAATTAAGTGTATCTTGTCGGTGACTCGTGTAAGGTAAACTTGTCCTCGTAATCTGATCTAAAGTGATAAATACATCATCAATAGTAAGCTAACTTCATTAAATTTAACCTAACTTAATCAAACTTAACTAAATCTACCGAGACCTGAACTTTATTTAACATAGCATAACTTAAGAAATTCTCTGGTAATGGCATTTTTGTATAGTGGGAGATTAGCATATGGAATATTTCTCTAACCTTAGCTTCGGTAAACACAACAATGGAGACGTCATAGGGTACAGAGAGAGGCGGTGTCCACTTAAAATTCAAACCAGGACCGACCCACCGCCTCCTTACCTGCCCCAGCACGGCCCGGAACATGCCCTTCGACTACCCAACGCTATTTTTATCCTGCGGGTCTTAGTAGACCACCCTGGGGGACCTCAGTGACGTAATCATCCCTCCCTTCATTGAGTACAAGTGGAAAGGTCGCCTCCCACCAGCCACGACCAGGCCTACTGTAAGTTTTGTTGACTGTTTGTGTGATTTTTGTATTTAAGAATGTTAGCTCGGTGTTGACTGTGTCTTATGAAAGTATAAATATACAAGACAAGCCGAGGGAGAAATTGGAGAGAGAGAGAGAGAGAGAGAGAGAGAGAGAGAGAGAGAGAGAGAGAGAGAGAGAGAGAGAGAGAGAGAGAGAAAAGAAACAGAAAGAAAACGCCATTCAATTCAAAAGTTTCCTGGTGAGATTTTCACGGAAGACAGCTACCAACTGTTTACTTAAGAGAAAGCGCTGCTGAGAACATATTTGTTGCTTGAGCGGGACACACATAAGCAAATCTTCTATTCGTTGTGTAATATAACGTAGGTTAGGATACGTTATATTTGTATTGGTTAATGTTTCGTTTCAGGTGCTTCAACTGCTGGGGATTTATCAAACACCGTTCATTGGGTTAGGTTAGGTTAAACTGGGCGTTAGATTCTTAACCGAACTACTTTTAGAAATTCATTAAACAAGTATATTTTGGAATGTTGTCGTACCCAGATCTCCAAGTTATCGCGCCTGGAGGACTGAGTATAGTCTTCCGGCATCACTACAGTTGCCAGTTTACTCTAACGGAGGAAGTAACACAGATTCTCTCTATATTCAAGTCGTCATTTCCTCGCTAATAATCATCACTCCCACTCAGATAAGACTTGTGATTCATATGATATAATGAATTGAATTATAATGTGTTAAAAAGTTGTAGATAGATGCGTTAGAGAGCATTAACCTCCTATGGTATACAGAACGCTTGGTGTTTGGTTAGGTTAGGTTTGTTGATGTAATTTTATAGAGAGACTTCCATAATCTGATATATTAGTGTTGATAGCAGCTGTTGTACGTGTTGTCAAATTCTCTTCAAGAAATTTTTATCGTCAGAAATTTACATGTGTTTAAGATAATACGTTTTATTATATATCTGATTTCTGGGGAGATAGTCGGTACTACACGTGAGTGATAGGGAGGCTAGGGTCAACAGGTGTCAAGGAGACTCAGATATGGACACTCTACATAAGAAAGCTCGTGAGGACGCTCTATCTTCCTTCCCCTGATAGTCGTTCCTCCCCGCGTCCTCCAGATTCAAAGCCACACTTTCCGTTGCCTCCCTGCGGCTAGAACCTTTAAGATGTGTATCGCGTATAAACACTGGGTTCCTACTCTTATCTTATCTTATCTTGAGTCCCAGGTAACTCAACACTGACGGCTGATGATGGCTAGATAGTAGGTGAAGTTAGGAGTATGCGTAACGTAAATATTGCTACGGTTTATTATACTGTACTGGGTCATAGTCGAGCTCTGTAACTCTTCAAGACGATTATTTCAATTAACGAGAAAGTGGAGAAGGCCCGCGTGTTTAGAAAGGTTGAGAGGAAGCACTAGTAGGAGGCAGGTAATACAGTTGGTCTCCCGGGGTGAGGAGCGGAGACTTCAACCCGGCAGTAGGTACCAAGCGTCCAGTGTTTCCTTCACCACTTACCCTGCGGCGTCCACTACCCAGATACACACGCGGCGACCTTCACGCCTTACCACCCAGTAACACACTCGTCACCTTATATCACTAGGCATGCAACATATAAGATGCGAACAGCATCATGCAGTACTGTAGCAGCATCAGGCATTATCAGAAGAACCCAATATAGAATCCACACTCCCGAAAAGAGTTTGAAGTCTTGTACACAAAGGTGGGTTGGAGGCACTCACCAGCACCACTAGTCTCATGGCTGGTAAGGTTTGTCACTAGAGTGTATCACGCTGCAGCGTCAGGAGCCCGACTGAGGTCGGGTCGGATGTCTGACACGGGGCACGGCGTCAGCCCTCCGTGCCGAGTTAACTTCCCGCTCGAGAGTGTAGGTGAAAGCTCGACCGTCCACTACCGCCGCCACACAACCACTGAGTTTCTCAGCTCTTTCTCTCCTCCTTATATTACCTCTGGTGGTAGTTGTTGGCCCAGTAATTGCCCCCTCTAAAACCTGACTCTGAATATGTCGCCAAACTTGGCATTGTTGAACACCTTGAAAAGTAATTCCTATATTTTCGTGTGACTAATAAGTGACTGTCTGGATAAGATAAGGATACTTGATACACAGAGAGAAATATTACTGATGAATTAAATTCTTTGGTCAGCCCAAAATAACCAGTTTGTGGTGGTAACCATCTCGCCTTCCCGCGGCGAAAGCTTCTCAAGTGAGACCCTTTTTTGTCCCGTCTACCAGGAACCTCTGATATTACTTTAGGTTTCCGGCAGAAGAGAAACATGAGAGAGATAAACACCCGTCTGCTTTAGGTCGGTGTGTGTGTGTTAGGCCTCACTCACACACATTAGGGCTAAAGACAGCATCCAATCAACTGTAAACTACCAAGTACCTGGTCCCTAAAGGTGAGGAGGGCTGGAGAGGTTCTTAAGAAAACTAACCCTGAGACCTGATTGGAGGCCTCGACCACATACCTGACGGTACCCTAACGAGACAGATGGCGCTAACCGTCTTGGGTGTTGGGTCTGGATTCTCAAAAAGATTCTTACTTTAAAATTTCTCATCTAAGTCGGTATAGGAGAATCTACCTACTTACGATAGAGTCTGAGAGCAGTTTTTCCTCCCTTTTCAATTATCTTATTTTATTACCTTTTGCGAATCTGAATCATAGACCTTATTATTGCTATTATTATTTTATTATTTTTATTAGTATTATTAGTATTATTTATTACTATTATTATTATTGTTATTTATTAAGTTTTTATTCTTATTATTATTATTGTTATTCCTTTTTTTTCTTCATTATCTATCATTAACATCATCGATTACCATTAGGATTGGATCCCAGCGTCAATAGGCTCCAATCCTAATGAACCCCAGTCATAGTAGCCCCAAACTCTAATACCTAATCCTAGAAGACCCCAAACCTCATGGCCTCAGTCTAATAAAGCCTCACTGTTAATTAGCCCCAGTTCTAATTATCGTCAAGCCTTATGAATCCCAATAATAAAGGTCACGCTACATTACGATCCATCAGGACAGAAACTCATGTGAGATGGACCAGTGGTAGGAAGGCCAGGCAGTGAAACTCAAACAGCGGGAACTAGTGGCGGCAGGAGGAGGAGGAGGAGGAGGGGGTGGGGAGTGTGAATGATCCGCTTGGCATTGATAGATGGATCTGGGGCACTTGGAGGATGGCGTGGTAGTGGAGTGGTGGTGAAAAGAGACCCTAACGATGAGAAACTGGTGGTTGGTGGTTTAATTCATGGTTGAGAGGATGAAGCAGTTGTTTTGAATCAATGGTTTGGTAAGGATTCATTCATTGTGTGGCTATACGGCATTGATTCGACTTTATATACGTAGGGGCATTGTCTCAGTGTTGTGAATCAGTGTAGTTTGGTGAGAATATACTGCGTTGATTCGACTCTCTACACGCAGGGGGAGGGTCTCAGAGTGTCATGAATCAGTAAGGGTATTCAGGGGTTCTCTTTGACTCCTTCGACAGGTATGAGCAGATACGAGTAAGGTGTTGGTTGGGGGTAGTCCTGTTGGTTGGGGGTAGTCCTGTTGGTTGGGGGTAGTCCTGTTGGTTGGGGGTAGTCCTGTTGGTTGGGGGTAGTCCTGTTGGTTGGGGGTAGTCCTGTTGGTTGTGTTCAGTACATTCCTGTCGCTTTCTATACCTGTTTTGTACTGTACCACTCTCCCTTCTGTTCTTCCTTTCTCTCTCTCTCTTCCACCCCCTCCCTTCCTTTCCTCTCTCTCCCTTCCTTTCCTCTCTCTCCCTTCCTTTCCTCTCTCTCCCTTCCTTTCCTCTCTCTCCCTTCCTTTCCCCTCTCTCCCTTCCTTCCCCCTCTCTCCCTTCCCTTCCTTTCCTTTCTCTCCCTTCCCTCCCCCTTCCCCTCTCTCTCCATTCATCCTTTCCCCTCCCCCCATTCCCATTCCTCCCTTCTCTTCCCCTCCCTTTCCCTCCTCTCTCCCTTCCTTCCCCTCTCTCTTGCCTTCATTGAGGTTCCTGTACCTTCTTGATCCACCCCTTAGAAAAGTGAGAGGCAAGATAGATGGTGGGGTGGGTGGGTGGATGAATAGATAGATAGATAGAAGTGAAATCAGGTCATCCAGGAAGGTGATTATGTCTCAATGGCGTGTGGTTCATGTTTTATTCATCCGTGTCTAGAACATCCTCACCCAGGTTTGGTTCTCCACTCACTCATCTCCTGCCTCTCATCCTTCAACTACGGCCTCTCATCCATTCAACTCCGGCCTCTCATCCTTCATCTCCTGCCTCTCATCCTTCAACTCCGGCCTCTCATCCTTCATCTCCTGCCTCTCATCCTTCAACTACGGCCTCTCATCCTTCAACTCCGGCCTCTCATCCTTCATCTCCTGCCTCTCATCCTTCAACTACGGCCTCTCATCCTTCATCTCCTGCCTCTCATCCTTCAACTACGGCCTCTCACCCTTCAACTCCGGCCTCTCATCCTTCAGTCAACTACGGTCTCTCCTTCACTCATCTACGACCTCTCCTCTATTCATCACATCCTTCATAGGGGTCATCGTCATCACTAGCGGGTCATCGTCATCACTAGCGGGTCATCGTCATCACTAGCGGGTCATCGTATACAAACAGTGGTAAACAGTAAGCCAGATCGACCACGTTCAGCCCAACAAACGAACGTGTCCTTGACCACTAGCCGCTGGGTTTACCTGTAATTAGGATCCCTAGGGCAATTTGTTCGCTACCTGGTGTGACTACAAACTACCACGGTGGGAGAATTACTGACGAGCATTGTGGTGAGGGCGGTAAGAAGTAACCAAGAACCATTATGTCATTGACCACTACCTTCTGCAGGAGAACCGCTGATGAGTGTTGTGGTAAGACGTAGGTGTTGTGATGCTGACCAAAGAATAGCTATGACAAGTCGGTGTTTATTTCATGAAGGAACGAACGCAGTCTTAGTATTTATCGTCTAGTGATTAGCTAACTGTGTTATTGAGATGAAAAATAGAAAAATACATCACTGAGAGAGAGAGAGAGAGAGGAGAGAGAGAGAGAGAGAGAGAGAGAGAGAGAGAGAGAGAGAGAGAGACCATACATTGAGCATTTAAAGGTCAAGAATGTAAACAGATATGTATGGGGGGCGGGGGGATTTCTACCTTCCACCTTAGCCATTCCTCTCACTTTCTACACTCGTCTTGCATCACTCTCCCTCTTATTTCCTCTCTCCACTCCCTTCATTGAGGACTCTGTACCCCTTAATCCAATTCCACACTGTACCCCTTAATCCATTTCCTCACTGTACCCCTTAATCCACCTCCTCACTGTACCCTTTAATCCACCTCCTCACTGTACCCCTCAATCCACCTCCTCACTGTACCCCTCAATCCAATCCACCTCCTCACTGTACCCTCAATCCACCTCCTCACTGTACCCCCAATCCACCTCCTCACTGTACCTCAATCCACATCCACACTGTACCCCCAATCCACCTCCTCACTGTACCCCCCAATCCACCTCCTCACTGTACCCCCAATCCACCACCTCACTGTACCCCTCAATCCACCTCCTCACTGTACCCTCAATCCACCACCTCACTTGTAATACCCTCCTTCAATCCACCTCCTCACTGTACCCCTTAATCCACTTCCACACTGTACCACTTAATCCACCTCCTCACTGTACCCCTCAATCTACCTCCTCACTGTACCCTTTAATCCACCTCCTCACTGTACCCCTCAATCCACCTCCTCACTGTACCCTTCAATCCACCTCCTCACTGTACCCCTCAATCCACCTCCTCACTGTACCCCTCAATCCACCACCTCACTATACCCCTCAATCCACCTCCTCACTGTACCCCTCAATCCACCTCATACAAGATAGGAGAGGAATACAGATAACAAGAACAAATATTTTAAAGAATAATGACTAGACAGCCATTGTGTGAGCGCTTAACTTTTATGAGTGTGGGAAGTGACAGGTGTAATAGAGACAAGAGTAAGGTGTATGTATCATTGTTATGGTGTATTTTTAGGGGTTATATAACATTGTGTAATTTATAGATCATCTGAAGATTAACTCCTTAGTTTATTAAGATTGAGTACTTTAACGATAACCTAACCTAATTATCATCATCATCATCATCATCATCATCATCATCATCATCATCATCATCATATCCGGGTGATTTAGTCTGCCATCTGTCCAGTACTGTATGGGGGGTGGTCGTAAATGATCATCTCGCCTCACCTCACCTTGCCCCCACGATGCACTGGGCTATTTCACTGTCTCCCTCCGTCACAGCTTCCCTCACACCTTCCCCACAGTATCCCCTCCCCACAGTGTCCCTCCCCACAGTTTCCCCACCCTCCCCACAGTGTCCCACCCCTCCCCACAGTGTCCCACCCTCCCTACAGTGTCCCTCCCTCACAGCTCCCCACCCTCCCACAGTGTCCCACCCTCCCACAGTGTCCCACCCTCCCACAGCATCCTCCTCACAGCCCCTCCTCCTGCCAGTGTCCCTTCCTCACAGCTTCCCCACCCCTCCCACAGTGTCCCTCCCTCCACAGAGTGTCCTCCCTCCCAGTGTCCCTCCCTCCTCATTATGTCCCTCCCTCCACAGTGTCCCTCCTCCCACAGTGTCCCACCTCCTGAGCAGTGTCCCACCTCCACAGGCGTCCTCCCTCCCACAGTGTCCCTCCCTCACAGCCCCTGAGGTCAGGACGCTGCTCTGAGTTAACGTCGTTATGATAATTTATGTGGAGAGAAAGTGGAAAGAATTTTACGACAGGATGTTGTATATAACCCGGAGGGAGAGTGAGAGGCCGGGAGGGAGGAGAGAGGGAGAGTGAGAGGCCGGGAGGGAGGAGAGAGGGAGAGTGAGAGGCTGGGAGGGAGGAGAGAGGGAGAGTGAGAAGGAGGGGAGGAGAGG